GTGCTGAGTGTACATTACTGAGAAATAAAATGAACTTTTTAGATTTTTGGAAAATGGCTGCAATGAAACAAAGAGTGAAAAATTTAAAGGGGTCTGAATACTTTCCGTACCCACTGTAAAATGCAGAATTTTGGTAAAACAGGCATTCTGCTTACCTTTTTTATGTGGCCACGTGTCCCAGATACAGGCTGTCTGTCCCGGTCAGAAACTCTCTGCCTCTGGGCTCAATCCCCTCGGCTGGCCGCGCCAATTGTTGGGTCGGAAATAAGGACAGGCCGGGACAGTGGAAGGCCTGGTCCCTACCCTAACCAACTTATTAAACTCAGTAAAAATTACTCTATTAGCTCTCTTCCTAAAGGACAAGTAAACCCGAGTAACATCCCTGCAGGTCTCAGGATGGAACTGAGCTAGTGGTCAGCGAACCTCGCCTTATTTTCACCTTAAACTCCACCTTCTTGTTTTAGCTTCTTTGCATTGGCTTCCAGTAAAATCCAGAATAGAATTTTAAATCATTCTTCTTACCTACAAACCTCTTAATGGTCAGGCACCATCTTATCTTAAAGAGCTCATAGTACCTTACTACCCCACCAGAGCACTGCGCTCCCAGAATGTAGGGTTACTTGTGGTTCCTAGAGTCTCCAAAAGTAGACTAGGAGCCAGAGCGTTCAGCTATCAAGCTCCTCTCCTGTGGAACCAGGTTCCAGTTTGGGTTCAGGAGGCAGACACCATCTCCACATTTGAGAGTAGGCTTAAGACTTTCCTCTTTGATAAAGCTTATAGTTAGGGCTGGCTCAGGTTAGTCCTGAACCATCCCTTAGTTATGCTGCTATAGGCCTAGACTGCCGGGGGATTTCCTATGATGCACTGAGCTCCTCTCTCCTCTAATTTCTCTCACTCTGTATGCAACCTCATCCCATTATTGCATGTTACTAACTCAACTTCTCCCCTTTCTGGTAGTCTTGTGTTTACTCGTCCCTCTCCTCTCTCCTCGTATCACTTCCTGCAGGTGTTTCTGGCTCTGGAGCTGTGGAGTCTGGATCTGCGGGTCACCTGCTGCCCCCGTGTTCCTGCTCGACACCCTCTGCTACAACAACTGTTGTTACTAGTCCTATTATTGTTATTATAATCATTAACATTACGACTGTTACCATTAACACTACTATAAATATCTGTACCATTTTTCATTTAGTCTATAGTAACATCACCTTTACTGTCTGTACCTCTGTGTGTATATTGTGTAATGTCTCTCTTGGCGCTATATAAATAAAATTGAATTGAAAAATTAAAATTTAATTCCAGGTAGGCGTTACACTTGTTCTCCACCTACAGTGTTCACTGACCACTCCCTTCCATTGGTGAATTTCTTCTCCTCTGCTGCCATCTAGTGGCCGTTTTTACGTACTGTTTTACCAATTTAACCCTTTCACTCATGTCAAAATTACCAATTATCCTTCTTTATATTTTTTGACACCATTAAAACTTACAACACTTACAATTGTATTTTTTAAAAGAATTAATAAGGAATAACATATTTGATAAACGTATAACATTGTTCAACACATCAAACATGAATATGTTGTGTCTCATACAAAGCTTAGTTTCTGCAGTACCTTGCAGTACCAGTTGACATCATTCACAATGTGTCATGATCTCATTCTTGGCAACAGTTTGCCATGATCTCATGCCTGGCGTCTGTGACTTGCAGCAGGTACCTTGCTACCATTTTGTGTGTGTGTGTGTGTGTATATATATATATATATATATATATATATGTATGCATGCATGCATGTATGTATGTATGTATGTATGTATGTATATATATATATACATACATATGTATGTATACATATGTGAGGACTCACCTGAGCCAGCCCTAACTATAAGCTTTATCAAAGAGGAAAGTCTTAAGCCTACTCTTAAATGTGGAGATGGTGTCTGCCTCCTGAACCCAAACTGGAACCTGGTTCCACAGGAGAGGAGCTTGATAGCTGAACACTCTGGCTCCTAGTCTACTTTTGGAGACTCTAGGAACCACAAGTAACCCTGCATTCTGGGAGCGCAGTGCTCTGGTGGGGTAGTAAGGTACTATGAGCTCTTTAAGATAAGATGGTGCCTGACCATTGAGAGCTTTGTAGGTAAGAAGAATGATTTTAAATTCTATTCTGGATTTTACTGGAAGCGAATGCAAAGAAGCTAAGACAGGAGAAATATGATCTCTTTTCCTGGTTCCTGTCAGAAAACGTGCTGCAGCATTCTGAATCAGCTGAAGAGTCTTAATGGACTTTTTCGAGCAGCCTGATAATAAGGAATTGCAGTAATCCAGCCTAGAAGTAACAAATGCATGGACTAGTTTTTCTGCATCATTTTTAGACAGAATATTCCTGATTTTCGCAATATTACGTAGGTGAAAAAAGGTCCTTGAAATTTGCTTAATGTGAGACTTAAACGACATGTCCTGATCAAAGATAACTCCAAGATTCCTCACAGTGGTGCTGGAGGCCAGGGCGATGCCATCCAGGGAAACTATATCTTTAGATAATGCGTCACGGAGGTGCTTAGGGCCCAGAACAATAACTTCAGTTTTATCTGAGTTTAACATTAGAAAATTAGAGGTCATCCAGGTTTTAACATCCTGAAGGCACATTTGAAGTTTAGCTAACTGATTAGTTTCATCTGGTTTGATCGATAGATATAACTGAGTATCATCTGCATAACAATGAAAGCTTATGGAATATTTCCTGATAATATTGCCTAAAGAAAGCATATATAAAGTGAAGAGGATTGGTCCGAGCACAGATCCTTGAGGAACTCCATGACTAACTTTGGCATGCATGGAGGACTCGTTAACATGTACAAACTGAAATCGATCTGATAAATTGGACTTAAACCAGCTTAGAGCGGTTCCTTTAATGCCAATGAAATGTTCCATGTTCCATATGATAACAGACAGATTAACATTCTTTCTAGAAAGCAGAGATCTGTACTCACCATACCAAAGTGGGTTTCGGAAAGGGAGAAATACAATGGACTATTTTATGTTTGGAATCTGAAATCAAAAAAGCTCAGACAAATGGGAAGATTGTGGTAGCTGTCTTTTTTGATATTGAAAAAGTATACGATATGTTATGGAAGGAAGGGTTACTTATCAAATTAAATAAATTAGATATAGGTGGTAGACCTACAACTGGGTGTTGGACTTTTTATTTGGCAGGGCAATAGAGGTCAGGGTGGGCACAGAATATTCAAGACTCTATAAAGTTGAAAATGGTACACTACAAGGCAGTGTGTGTAGTCCAGTACTATTTAACATCATTATCAATGATAATTTTGAAAAAGTGGAAAGAAGTATTGGGAAGTCCTTGTATGCAGACGATGGGGCCCTATGGATAAGAGGACAGAATTTGAAATTTATTCAGAAAAAATTACAGGCAGCAATTGTGGAACAGTGGGCAAATAACTGGGGTTTTAAGGTGTCGGGTGTAAAGACACAAGTGATATGTTTTTCCAGGAGACATAAAGAAGTGTCCTTAAAATTATATGATCAAACCCTCGAACAAGTAAAAGTTATCAGACTGTTAGGAGTGTTGTTTGATGAAAAGTTGACCTGGAAACAGCACACTGATAAGGTCAAAGACAAATGCAAAAAAATCAATAACCTTTTAAGATGTCTGTCAGGAAGGGACTTGGGGGCCACTACAACATCATTGCTTAAAATATACCAGACCTTGATGAGATCTACTAGATTATGGATGTATAGCATATATCTCAGCAGCAGAATGCCATCTTAAAAAACTAGATGTGGAACAGGCACAAGCATTAAGGACATGCAGTGGAGCATTTAAGACCTCTCCAGTGGCTGCCATGCAAGTGGAAATGGGGGAACAGCCACTAAGAATAAGAAGAACAAGAATTATGCTAACATACTGGACTAATCTTCAGGGACACTGTAGCTCTCACCCCGCTAAAGCCATCCTAGAAGAATGTTGGGAACACAATAAGAGCAGCTGTTTCAGTTTTGGATGGGTGGGAAATGCGAAAGCAGAAAGCCTTGGACTGTGCAGTATAAAATATATCCCAGTAGTCCCATATCCAGATCTTCCTCCGTGTTTTTTTGTAAATCCATCCATTGACCTGCATATACAGCAAATAATCAAAAAGAAATCCAAGCAAGCACACACAGGAAGAATAGCAGAAAGTTACATAGAGCAGCACTATAGAGATAACCACATGGTCTTTACTGATGGCTCTAAAGATCCAGAGACCGGACGGACAGGAGCTGCCATATACATCCCAGCATACAAAATAGGCATTAAAAAGAGAACCACAGATCATCTATCAGTATATACAGTTGAGCTTATGGCCATTTTGATGGCATTACAGTGGATAGAAGAAAATAAGGAAAGCAAGGTGGTCATTGCATCAGATAGCTGGGCAGCTCTCACCAGTATTAAATCTGTTAAGTCCTGTAGGCTGGATCTGGTATTTAGTATTCATAGCTCTCTATGTAGATTATATCATAAGGGCTGGACTGTCTGCTTTGTTTGGGTTCCTGCCCATGTAGGGGTAGAAGGAAATGAAGATGCTGATATTCTGGCAAAACAAGCACTTAAATCAAAGTCAGTTGATATACAAGTTCCGCTAAGTAAATCTGAAGCTAAAACAATCATTAAAGAGAAAATGCAAAAAATATGGCAAGAATACTGGGAACTAAATGAAAGTGGAAGACACCTTTACAGTATACAGAATCATGTTGGTCTGGGAAGAAAACTGGGTGGGTTTCAATTTTTATTTATTTAATTTTGTTTGTTTGTTTGTTTTTTGTTCTATTTGTTTATTTGTTTTTTATGTTAGTCTGCACATAATCTGTTCCACACTCCAGTCCGGTAGGTGGCGGTAATGCTCCTAAATGCTGGCTGCCAATCACCGCCAATCAAATCAAAAGAAGAAGAAGAAGAAGATGAAGATGCCCCACGCGTCACTTCCGCATTCCCCGATTCCAACAGAAGTCTGTAGTAGTGTCGCGAGTGGCGCACAGACGCTCTTCTCACACAGCTGCCCAATCGGCTTCCTCGATTCGTGACAGCAGGCCAATCGCAGAGCCCGCGTCCGACTGAAAACTATTCAACATGGAGACAACAGTTGAAAAGCTTGAAGCGATGGTAAGCACAGTGTAAATTTATGAATTTTCTGTAGTAGTGACTTTCTGAAATTGCTCTTATTGTTGGACGATTCCAGAGACAACCAGCAGCTAATTAATTACCGATGTATTCATTCGAGCTGCCTATGTCAGGAAGAGCGGCATGGTTTCTCTTTTTGTTAATGAGCGATTCAAACTCCTGCGCTCCATTCAGCTCCAGTCAGCAAGCTGGCTTCCTGCAGCTCTGCTCCAACCTGTTTTAATCTCCAACAAAGGCCATTGCTCCCAGCGTAGGGCCACTTCAGACAGATGCTTTCTAACGTCACTGACTTCAAGGTCCATAAGTTAGCTTTTAGCTGCTGTTCCGTTTGACCATAAACAACAACACGCTCAGCTGCTCATCGCCAAGATCGCAGGCATGAGCTTCACCTGACCTGAGTTATCAGCCTATAAACGGCTCTATAAAACCAAAACACGCTGTATTAATCTTAACTCAAGGGCTATCTACTGTTTTTTCCGGAGCTTTCAACAGCATCTCAGTTGTCATGTCAAAGGTCCACACTACACACTGATTGTAAGCAGGGTCGTAGAAAAGTGACAAAGTATTCTCCCAGCAGTGAAGTTTAATTGGCAGTAATATTCCTAAGTTGCAGAATGTCAGTATTTTTGCATACTTGCTGCTGTCACAGTACGATGATTAGTATACTGTACAGTAGTGTGGACTTTTACAAAAAGACCCATTGAAAGCAGCAAGACTAGACGGCCGCCCCATTCATTTTCTATGGAACACAAAGCAGTGTTTCCCACAGGATTCTTCAGGAGACTTCTCCCCACCTGGAAGAAGATATTGTACATTTTAAAGTTAAATGCCTTAATTTTGTGTAAAATTAAGAGACTATCTATGAAGAATTTTGCACTCTTGTAAACAATGTTGTGTTCTAGTTCTACCTTTTTGATATGAACCCCTTGTAGAGCTATAAATGGTGATGAAACAAAAGTCAACATTTATTTAATGTTTTTCCAGTAACCCTAAATCAAAGAATAGAATAAGTAATTTCCAAATAATATATAATAACATTTTATTGTTGTTGTTGTTGTTTTTATGGAAACATGAAATATGTTTTATACCTTCTGTGAATCTTATTCAGGGTTTTTCCTGCATAGAGAAATTTTTGTCTGAATGTGTTTTAATAGCCATTTCTCAAGCAACTGTTGAGCAAACAGAACATAAACTTAAATACGACGTCTTGACCTCCAGCAGTCACCTCTCCCCTCATCCACAGCGGCTGTATTTTACACATGCAGCAGGAGCTAGATTTAGAAACTAGCTGCTGTTGGTTAGACTGTGCCTGAACGCTCTGCACGAAGCTCTTCCTGTTATTTCTCACAATATAAAAGCTGTTTGTGCTTCAAGTGTGCCGGTATTCACCGGTACTGTCACGTTTACATTTTACTCTTTGGCGTACCAGCACTGGGACTTTCCTCTGCCCTCTCCAGATCAGCTCACCTGGACCGTTCTCTCCTGCCTGCTAATCTCCGCAGGGGAGATCGGGATACTTTCATGCAGCCATGTGCAGTAGTTGCTCATCACAGTCACATTTCATGAACTGACCAATCACAGGAGGAGGTGGGACATTAAAAAAAGGTTGAGGCACTACAGCAAGTTAATTTGCATAAACAAATGAGACTAACCACCATGTAGAGCATTTTTCTTGCACAATAATTTAATGACTGAAAACAACCCACAAAAATGAAACTACTGTCTGCTACTAATAAGCTATAGTAGCCTGTGCTATTATCTGAAATTATAATAAATATACAAACATCAACACTAATAGTGGTGTAGACTAATATCAGAAAATGGTTTTATTAGTGAAACAGCTGAATCTCAACTAATAAAGGATCAGGATAAAGTCTCTAACCTGCCTGTTAGCTCATACTGGTCCATTACAGTGGATTTACCATAAAGGCTTCAACACGTGTGCACTCCAAATTTAGGTGCGGCTACTTAAATCACCTTCTCATAAACGAGTGACAGAAACAGACGTACCGTAGTTACCTCAAAAGAAAAGTGCTTGCCTTGAGTTGGATGCCAAAGTGTGTGAGTGTGTGAGTTTACACCAGCACCCGCAAAACAGTGTTAGAGGTCTGTAATGTTGTTATGAGATGTGTAAAAATATTTTCGGTTAATTTGGAAACTATGGTGGAACACAGACTGACGCCATGGTCTCATTAATTAATGGGAAACACTGCAAAGCATTGCAGGATTCCTTGTATGTGATCTAAAGAGTTGAAGAAGAAAGGGGTCAAAAGTTAAAAATGTTAAACTTTATGCAAATGAGGGTGAAAATCAGCTGTTGGCAGGTGCTCTGACTTCATTGCACTACTGTATCAGACAGCTAGCAGTGCAATAGTATTGTCAAAGCATCTGAAAACTGCAGAGACCAGCTGCACTGACTGCTCTACGATTCTAGACTGTACCGAGTCAAGTTTCTATCTAGACCTTTCACCCTTGCCTGCATTAAAACCCAGCTCTTTGTACCCTCGGACTGAATATGCCCTACCCATTGCATATTGTGTGATTTTGAAATTCTGTTTGGCACATCAGAACAGTAGACACTGTTGAAGAATTATTGTGAGCCAGGTTCAACTGTGATGAAGTTTCGGAGACTGATGAAGACTTAACATAGCATGGTTTATTAAGCCCGGCCGAGGAGATACAGTGCCAACATGTGTACACGTCAAAGCCAACACCAAATCTGAAGGCTAACATCTTTTGGTCCCTTTTATGTTTTTCTCTTCCCCCTACTTCATGTATGTTACCCTCTTAGGTCATCTTTAACTGGCTTTAACCTAGAACAACAAATCTATCTGCTATTTTATCATATATTCTTTAACAGCCTCGGGACAAAGAACCTGTAGGTTTCATCAAGGATGGCATTCATGTTGTCATTTGAAGTTCATTTTGCATACAGAAACTGCATTTCTGGGTATTCTGGATATTTGTGATTTGTAATCCTGTTTACAGATTCTTTGATCAGATGGTTCCTGATTTTAGTAATAATCACCAGTTTTTGTTATTGTTCTTGTACAGCTTGTATTTAGACAACTTTTAACAATTGAGAACTTCGTCATTTAGCAGCACTATTATCAGAACAGCCCTACTTATGAGCAGAAGGAAGCAGGGTATATACTGTATGCCAGTGTACTATCTAATTGTAAAGCTGGGTGTTGTTACAGTTCCTCAAGTCAGAGGCAGACCTGGAATACATCGAGAAGCGGCTAAAGCTGGACTTCATCAACAATGCTGCAGAGAATAGATGTCCCACCGAGGTGGTAACTGAACTCCCACAGCTGTTAATTATCAATATTTTCACACAACTAAAGCCAACACCACTATTCTTGTGTCCTGTAGACACCGCTATTTGGTGTCTACATGACACAACATATAAATGATTGGATGGACAAAATGTATTTGACTGTCACTGGCTGATAGCTTTCCATATAAACACAGTTCATAGAGGCACATGCTGCCAGGTTTTGTCATTCAGGTTTTGAAACACATGTAATACAAAATTCACTTATGAAATAGGGTTGGGTGATCGTCTCTATTTTCATATTGTCTGATCATGGCTACTTGAGATCACTGATTGATGATCTGATCGCCAGGGGCCGGGGTTACGTTGCAGGAAGTCAGTTAAATGCTGGCATGAAAGAAATAGGCTTATTAGCTTTAAGAGAAACAATCAGAAACATCTGTAAATGCACAGTACAGTGTTTCCCACAGAATTGCTCTGTACCTGTGGCGCCGTGCACATGAGGCGGGGAGAAGGGGGGTGTAATCAATAGCAGCTATGTACAGCATGTCAACCTCGACAACCCAGCTGTATTCAACTTTAACGTATCCGTCTCCGACACTGAAAGTGTTGTTAAGAAAATAGATAGACTAACTTCCCAGAGTTAACTGGATGGATGATTACCCTGAGTTGAGACGGCAAAACCGCAAATTCTGTTTACTTTCTGTCTCCACACAAGCATGGTACATTATCAGCACGAGGACACGTAGTCCGTTAAAATATATTTCTTCATGGCCTCCATGTTAAAAGCCCCGCTGCTGTCATGGTAACATCACGTTACACTGTGTGTCTTCTAACGTTCGGCCGTTTCATATTTTCTGTTTATTTAACAGCCACGTATGAGCTGTTATTGTTATTATCACAACAAATTTGATTCCTTTTAAGATGGGCTGCTATTGTCATTATTCTAATGTGTTTCATCTGGATGATTGAATAAAATACTGATTTATTGATTAGACATGTTTTTGATATTTATTTTGGATAATTTTTTTTTCTTTAGAATACACAAAATTAATTGACTAATCGAAAAAAATTATCGTTATGTACAGCCCTAATTACAATCAGTTAAAATAATAAATCCTTTATTTATTTTTTTATTGTTTACCCCACGTTACCCCATGTATCTCCTGTAGGTACTTCTTGCAAATGTTTCAATACATAAAGAAACATACTGCAAAACAAGACCCTAACCCTAACCCTAACCCTAACCCACTCTTGAGGCTGCCATGCAAGGTGCTTGCAACAGTTCTCTCACAGCGCTCTTCATAAAAGAGCAGGTCTAGACTGTACTCTGTGATCATAAACAGAAACTAATGTCTTAAAGCTTCCCTTGTTAATAATCAGTCCTTGCAACGCGTTATCCATGGATCCTTTAAAGTTTAACCAGTGAATAATAATACCTGTGTTTAATTTTGTAGTGTCAATTTAAATTCTCTTCATTATTATGAATATTGGAAATCCCATTTATACCTTGTCTTTAGTTCAGACCTATAAGGACTTGGTTTGTCACCCACAGTCCTGTTTTGCTGTACATAACGGTTAACAATATACCAGGTGAAACGTGCCAAAAAGCAGCTGAGGCTAGATGTTTGAACAGTGACTGACTGACACTGTGCCTGCAGGAGAACCCGGCGGTGATGCTGGAGAACCTGAGGGCCATCAAGGCCAAACACACAGCGTTGTGCTCTCAGGTGAAGGAGATCGCCGCTGCACAGAAAGAGTCTATGGATTCCATCACAAACAACCTCAGCAGTGTCATGGACCTGATCCAACACTTCCAACAGACTACTGATGTGGAGGTACCCACACAAGCAGCATGCTCACTACTGAAACATCACCTTATGTGCTCATACTGTTTACAGAGGAGTGTTCGCCAGTGTGTTGACTTCCGATGGACATGATTCCTGTCAGAGTTGAAAGCGTAAATAAGAAACCCCTTTTTGTCTAAGCCCCAGATATCCGGTAGAGCTTGTCACATCCCATGCTAGTTAGTGATGTTTCCAGTCAGGATGCTTTCTCTCATCTGTAAAAGCTGACAAGAACTTGGCACAGGAATTTAGCCTTGTTAAGTTATCTTAAGAAATACAGTTGTTTCTGAACTTTCTTCACCAGTGTGGAGATGTGAGATGTCCATGTCAGGTTTTCTGTGATGCTGTTTTCCAGGAACTTGAAACTGTTCACCTGCTCCACTGATGTAGAAAGGAGTGTGTGTCTTTAGCTCCTTGATTTGCTGACGTTGGGCAGTAGGTTGTTCTCTGTACACCACTGCAACATTGTGGATTTCCTCCAGATATGAAGTCTCATCGTTGTTTTGAAATCTAGTCGAATAGATTTCTCTCCATGTCTCGGGTTGCAGTGGTAGATGTACAGCGTGAACAGGAGCGGGCAGAGCACACAGCCCTGGGAGGCTCCAATGTTGAGCACTAGAGTGGAGGGGGTGTGGCCGGATACTGCAGACGTTTTAGGTACAGGGACGATTGTGGCTGGTTCCCACCTCTCCTGAGACAGTGAGATTTTGAAAATGTCAGTAATAAATAGGGATGGGGATTGATACCCTGATCTAGGACCCGGTGAGTAACAAGACATTACTTTACCAATACACCTGTGTGTAGGTTAAACATGTAGAAAGGGTTAATTTAAACTGCTTCGTCCAGTCCCTCATCCTGTTTGATTTATACAAGCACAGCTAACGTTAGCTTGGCATTAGTAAAATGTTAAAACAAGCTAAATAGAAAGCTGTCTGTCTGGAGCTCAGACTAGTCTGTAGTCTTAAAATTTGGCACATTGTTGTAAACTCAGCTGCTTTCTGAGTCAAACCAGCTGCTCCTCCTTCGACCAGATAACGTTACCTGCAGTGAAAAACAGCAGAGAGGAGGAGGAAGAAGGACAGATGCAGACTTCTTCATTCTTTCTAAACATATTGTGATGTCAGATATTGACTTTATATAGTGATGTTGCTACATTAATGTTGCTGCTTTAGAGACAACATTTAGTTGTATTTAAAATATTAAATTCTAATTCTATGAATTATTTATTTATTTATTTATAGCAAGTGATATGTCATCTCAATATATCACAATGATATCACACACTGAATATTTTCCTCACACAGTGCAGGCCTGCCTCATGCCTGTTGGGTCTGGTCTTTCCAAATAACAGTCCCCAAATAATGGTAAAGGATGGATAGTGGTGTCGATAAAGACTCGGATCATTAAGCAGTCTCAATAATGATATCAAGATCAATAAAAATCAAAGCTGCAAGCAGCGTTGGGTGGGCCCTCGCACGTGACGCTGCACGAAGGTGTTAATGGCTAACTGAATATTGCCATGTAGATATGACATGTAGATATCAACAAGTTGTACAATAACTTCACGTCCAGCACTCCTAGTCATACATACTAAAGTCTTCACTCAGCCACAAAGTTATCAGGGGCCAAAGCGTCGAGGAGACCAAGGAAAGGTTGCCATATTAACGTGAACTTTTCTCTAATTTAATAAAATACAATTCAATTTTATTTATATAGCGCCAAATCACAACAACAGTTATCTCACAGCGCTTTTCATAAAAGAGCAGGTCTAGACCGTACTCTGTGATGTTATTTACAGAAGCCCAACAGTTCCCACCAAGAGCAAGCACTAGGCGACAGAGGCAAGGAAAAACTTCCTTTTAAGAGGCAGAAACCTCGAGCAGAACCATGGCTCAGGGTGGGCGGCCATCTGCCTCGACCGGTTGGGGTGAGAGAGAGAGAGAGAGAGAGATGTAAGGAGAGAGAGATGTAAGGAGAGAGAGAGGGGAGGGAGGCAGCCTACACAATATACACACAGAGGTACACACAGTGAAGGTAATGTTGCTATAGACTAAATGAAAAATGGTACAGATATTTATAATAGTGTTAATGGTAACCATCATAATGTTAATGATTATAATAACAATAATAACAATAAGACTAGCAAAAATAGTCGTTGCAGCAGAGGGTGTCGAGCAGGAACACGGGGGCAGCAGGTGACCCGCAGCCACAGCTCCAGACTCCACAGCTCCAGAGCCAGAAAACCTGCAGGAAGTGATAGGAGGAGAGAGGAGAGGGACGAGAAAGCACAAGACTACCAGAAAGGGGAGAAGTTGTGTTAGTAACATGCAATAATGGGATAAGGTTGCATACAGAGGGAGAGAAAGTAGAGGAGAGAGGAGCTCAGTGCATCATGGGAAATCCCCCGGCAGTCTAGGCCTATAGCAGCATAACTAAGGGATGGTTCAGGACTACCTGAGCCAGCCCTAACTATAAGCTTTATCAAAGAGGAAAGTCTTAAGCCTACTCTCAAATGTGGAGATGGTGTGTGCCTCCTGAACCCAAACTGGAACCTGGTTCCACAGGAGAGGAGCTTGATAGCTGAACGCTCTGGCTCCTAGTCTACTTTTGGAGACTCTAGGAACCACAAGTAACCCTGCATTCTGGGAGCGCAGTGCTCTGGTGGGGTAGTAAGGTACTATGAGCTCTTTAAGATAAGATGGTGCCTGACCATTAAGAGCTTTGTAGGTAAGAAGAATGATTTTAAATTCTATTCTGGATTTTACTGGAAGCCAATGCAGAGAAGCTAAAACAGGAGAAATGTGATCTCTTTTCCTGGTTCCTGTCAGAACACGTGCTGCAGCATTCTGGATCAGCTGAAGAGTCTTAATGGACTTTTTCGAGCAGCCTGATAATAAGGAATTGCAGTAATCCAGCCTAGAAGTAACAAATGCATGGACTAGTTTTTCTGCATCATTTTTAGACAGGATGTTCCTGATTTTCGCAATATTACGTAGGTGAAAAAAGGCGGTCCTTGAAATTTGCTTAATGTGAGACTTAAACGACATGTCCTGATCAAAGATAACTCCAAGATTCCTCACAGTGGTGCTGGAGGCCAAGGCGATGCCATCCAGGGAAACTATATCTTTAGATAATGCGTCACGGAGGTGCTTAGGCCCCAGAGTAATAACTTCAGTTTTATCTGAGTTTAACATGAGAAAATTAGAGGTCATCCAGGTTTTAACATCCTGAAGGCACATTTGAAGTTTAGCTAACTGATGAGTTTCATCTGGCTTGATCGATAGATATAACTGAGTATCATCTGCATAACAATGAAAGCTTATGGAATGTTTCCTGATAATATTGCCTAAAGGAAGCATATATAAAGTGAAGAGGATTGGTCCAAGGACAGATCCTTGAGGAACTCCATGAGTAACTTTGGCGTGCATGGAGGACTCATCGTTAACATGTACAAACTGAAATCGATCTGATAAATAGGACTTAAACCAGCTTAGAGCGGTTCCTTTAATGCCAAATGAAAACCAGTACAGAGACAAGTCCTTTGTCTGATGCAATAAGGAGGTCATTAGTAATTTTCACCAGTGCTGTCTCTGTGCTATGATGAGCTCTAAATCCTGACTGAAAATCCTCAAATAAACTATTGCTCTGTAGAAAGTCACACAGCTGTTTAGCAACTGCTTTCTCCAGAACCTTAGAGAGAAATGGAAGGTTAGATATAGGTCTATAGTTGGCTAAAACATCCGGATCAAGTTTGGGCTTTTTCAGAAGAGGTTTAATTACAGCTACTTTAAAGTACTGTGGTACATAGCCTGTTGATAAAGATAGATTGATCATATCTAGTATAGAGGTGCTGACTAAGGGTAGAACATCTTTAAGCAGCCTAGTCGGGATGGGGTCTAAGAGGCAGGTTGATGGTTTAGATGAAGAAATTATTGAAGTTAGTTGGTAAAGATTGAGGGAAGCAAAACAGTCTAAACATGTATCTGGTTCTACAGCTGTTTCTAAGGTTCCTGAGTTAAGAGATAAGTCGGTGCCAGTTGAGGGCAGGTCTTGGTGAATTTTGTCTCTAATAGCTAGAATTTTATCATTAAAGAAGCTCATGAAATCGTAACTACTGAGAGCTATGGGAATACTTGGCTCAATAGAGCTGTGACTCTCTGTCAGCCTGGCTACAGTGCTGAAAAGAAACTTTGGGTTGTTCCTATTTTCCTCTATTAATGACGAGTAGTAGGCTGCTCTGGCATTACGGAGGGCCTTCCTATAAGTTTTAAGACTATCTTGCCAAATTAAACGAGAATTTTCCACTTTGGTAGAACGCCAATTCCTCTCAAGTTTCTGTGATATTTGCTTTAATTTGCGAGTTTCAGTATTATACCATGGAGCTAACCGTCTTTGTTTTAGTATTTTCTTTTTTAGAGGGGCTACAGAGTCGAGTGTCATTCGCAGCGAGCCTGCAGCACTATCAACAAGATGATCGATTTGGGAGGGACTGAAATTAGCATAGGAGTCCTCCGTTACTTTGTGACTAGATAATGTATTTAGAGCTGATGGAATCGCATCCTTAAATTTAGCTATGGCACTATCAGACAGACATCTTGTATAGAAATTTTTGCCCAGTGGCGAGTAGTTCAGCAATACAAACTCAAAAGTTATCAAACAGTGGTCGGATAAAGAGGGATTCTGTGGGAACACCACTAAATGTTCAATTTCAATACCATACACCAAAACAAGGTCGAGGGTGTGGTTAAAACAGTGAGTCGGTTCATGAACACTCTGAGAGAAGCCAATGGAATCTAACAGAGAGATAAATGCAGTACTAAAGCTGTCATTCTCAACATGTCCCTAATCTATTGTGCTAATGATGGGGGTTTGCAGTCCTTCCACCTGATCAGAATTTGTGTTGCCACACCGAATAAAGCAAGGGAAGGTGATAGTTGTAAGGGCTCACCAGTTGTCTTGGAAAGCACATCAAATATTAGCTGCCAAAAATT